AACAACAACGAACAGCAAACCCCTCGCGAACAACAACGAACAGCAAACCCCTCGCGAACAACAACGAACAGCGACCGGCGCACAAACACAGTCCAACAATCGACAACGTCGCCTTCGCTCGCGCGATGACTCATTACTGGGACGCCGGCGCCACCTACCAGCACGGGCGGCAGTCGCCACAAGTCGAGTTTCTTCTGCGCGAGTCGGTGCTGCCGGCACTTGGAGCAGTAGTAGAGCTCGTCCTCTCCCAGCTCCTCCCACTTGGTGAACGCCTGCAGGCAGGTGGCGAGGTCGATCGGCTCCGTCTGCAGCCGCCGCGACTGCTCCACGCTGCCGTGGTCCACAAACACCTGGCGAGAACGCACGATGAGACGCGAGAACGTGAGACGCGAGAACGTGAGACGCGAGTACGTGAGACGCGAGTACATGAGATGCAAGAATGTGAGACGCGAGTACGTGAGACGCGAGTACATGAGACGCGAGAACGTGAGACGCGAGTACGTGAGACGCGAGAACGTGAGACACGAGAACGTGAGACGCGAGTATGCGAGGCAGATCTGAGACGCGAGTATGCGAGGCAGATCTGAGCCGCGACTCCTCCACGCTGCCGTGGTCCACAAACACCTGCAGCGCGAGCAGGGGGAGAGATATGAGACGTGAGGTGGGCGTGAGGCAGATTCGAGACGCGAGGCAGATCTGAGACGCGACTCCTGCATGCGGCCGTGGTCGACAAACACCTGCGGCGCGCGCGCGCGAGGCGAGAATGCTCGTTGAGACGTGAGCATGTGTGAGACATGCAGACGCGAGGCACGAGGCAGATCTGAGACACGACATGCGAGGCCCGCGAGACAGACTTGATGCGTGAGACGCGTGAGCAGATCTGAGGCTCTATGGGAGATGATACTACGACGAACAAGAGAGCAGCACCCACCCGCTCGAGCGACGCCTGGTAGCGTAGGTGCAGCGCGGTCGGGTCCCAGTCGACGGCGACGTACGCGCTCGCTCGGCAGAAGTCCGCATCGCAGCACTCGATCTTGCAGCCGCGGCAGAAGCGGAACCACGGGCACCAGGCGCACGTGAAGCCGTCGCGCTGCACCGCCTTCAGGATGAACGGGTACTCGTAGCCGAGGCTGTCGTCGCTGCAACAAACACGAGGCGCCCCAGCACGGTGAGACGCGGCAGCGGCAGCGCCATCTACGGGGCCCGATTGCAAATTTGTGCGTTTTTTTTTCTGGATGTTTTCGACGAGCGATTTGCGAATTCTCGTTCGATTTTCGTTTTGCATTTTTTTCCACTCGGGCATTTCGAATTAGACCAACGTGGAATTTCTGTACAGAACCCTGGCTGTCGACGTTAATCGAATACAGTAAAACTCGCATAAGTCGACACTTTTGGGACCAGCATATTTGTGCCGACTTGCAAAAATGACGACTTTGTCACCTTATACGTAGGGCTCCCCTCCCAGGTGCCCGTCACCCCTACGCAGTCATAAACATGCTACGATACAAAACAATCTGGTCCGTACATCAATCGACACCGCTACTGGCCATAACGCACGCACATCGTACGCACTAGCGGCAAGCGTGACATACAGTGAAAAAAATACACGGGGTATCGGGGCGATTTAGCCCCCGAAATGCCAAAAAGAGCCCCGGAAATACCGAAGAAAGCCCCCGTAAATTTGCATAGAATTCAATGCAAACCAAATTTTAGAATGCTATTTTCATGCACGCGAGCTTGAAAAGTAGCCCCCGAAAAATAAATTTTATTTTTTTCCCTGGCGACATGCGCCGGCTATTTTGCAACACCCGCTGTTGATTCGCGTATATCTGCGACGGCCACGTGGCACATTCCCTAGACGACTTACAGATGGAAGATTACTGTTGTTTGTATTACATGGGACCTGTCTGAGGGCGACGACTTGTACATAATAACGACTTATAAATGACGACTTAGGCAGGGCTATTCCAATGGATTTACTGGGAGAGAAAATCGGGGACTTTGACTTCCATGAAGACTTATGCAAATTGACGAGTTAGACGATGACGACTTATGCGAGTTTTACTGTAGCAGGTTACATGTTATGGTTCATACGTCAACAGCGTGGCTCATCTCTATTCAAGGTAACGGTAAATCGATGGAATGGTAAGGCTGCCCATTGATGGGGCTGGGTGGGGCCCACTGAAGACGTGAAGGCGGCCTGATGATTGGGTAAGGAAGGGGGTCCATTGATTGGATGGGGGGGGGTCCGTCCAACAATAGGGATACGTGAGGTGGTGTGCGTATCTCACCAGTCGAGTGCGTGATTAAGCACGCCGTGCTCGTTAGGCGGCAGCGGGCTGACGAGCCGGCCCACCTGCGTCCACACGCACTGGTACAGCTCCTGCTGCGTCGTGTACTCGTGGCATGGCAGGATCAGCGGGAACCCGAACAGGCTTGGCCGGCTCTTCTGACTCGACAGGAAGTAGACGTCGTTGCGGATCTGAAACGACGTCAACACCCCCGTCAGTTCTCGCGCACGAGTCGCGGTTGCCACGGCGACGTCGACCCCCCATCAGTCCTCCCCACGCACGAGTCTCGGTCGCGACGACGACGATGACCCCACCCTCCCCCCGAGTAACCCTTATATGCATGGTTTGACTGTTAATTGTTCCTGTAAGAATTTCGGTCGTGAATGAAGAAGTTAACAAAATTAAAGTTTAATTTAAGTTTGAATTAAGAAATTAAGGTCGGTTATGCACAAGCGAACATTCTGCGCCGCTCCGCAAGACGTCCGAGACGCGTCTCAAAGTGATTACGTCACGAATTTCTAGCACCATCAAGTAGTATATTTGTGTGTTATTTGTACAAAATAAAATGTATGAAAATACAATTAGTGTTTCTGTTTACTTTTCATGCTTATATA